TCAGGCTTGTCAAAGATCAGATGGTTGTAGATGTGTGGTATTATTTCTGAGGACTCTGTCCTGTTCCATGGGTCTATATCTCTGTTTTGGTACCAGTACCATGCTGTTTTGGTTACTGTAGCCTTGTTGTATAGTTTGAAGTCAGGTAGAGTGATGCCTCCAGCTTTGTTCTTTTGACTTAGGATTGTCTTGGCAATGCGGGCTCTTTTTTGTTTCCATATGAACTTTAAAGGAGTTTTGTCTGCGGCTCGTCCTGCTGCATTTCTTGGTTCCCTGCCTGGGAAGCGAGATTATTAATGGATGGTCGAGGCAGCCCCTTTGGCAGCTTATGCCTGCCCTGTAGAGCATCCCTGTGGGGGACTCCAGCCAGCTTCAGTGATAAGGATCCTGAGAGCGCTCCCGGGTAGGCATTTGCCCCAGTGGAACGCCTTGTCAGAGCAGTGCACAGCAGGTCCCTATGGAGGATCAACGCAGTGGCTGAACACTGGGAAGGAACTTTAAGTCCAGACATCTGAAACTTGGTAAGACTGGTCTTTGGAACTTGCCCACTCCATTTGAGTGGAAGCGTGGCCTGATCACCCACAGCATGCCTGTACTGGCACTTTGGTTTTTGTTTTTGACTTGACTTGAATTAATTGCTTGATACTTTGGTTTAGTTTTGATTTTGACTTGACTTGAATTGCTTGATAAACAGGCGCACCTTTATTGGCACTTTGGTTTTGGTTCTGATTTTGACTTGGCTTAAATTGCTTGATGAACAGGTGTGCCTTTAACAACACTTTGGTTTTAGTTTTGATTTTGATTTAGTGTAAATTAGACGAGTGAGTGACCTTTTACCCTTTCCTTCTTATAGTGTGAATGTTGTTTTGTCTCGAGAGAAAAATAGGTCAGACACAAAGTAAGCCTACTCTGCTAGGAACTGTGTTAAAACATTTCAAAAGGAAAATTTCAAAAAGAAAAAAGGAAAGTCATCAAATCATCAAAACTTACTCTATTAAAATGCATGTTATAGAACCTTAAGAAAGGTTTTGCAGGAGATTATGGAGTTAAGTTAACCCCTCAGAGGTTAAGATCTCTGTGTGAATTAGAACTGCCCTCTTTTGGTGTTGGATGGCCCACAGAAGGAACTATAGACAAGGAACAATTGGCCGTGTATTTAAGGTGGTGACAGGGGTCGGAGGAGAGCCAGTGTACCTATATCAAATTCCTTTATATTGACTCATGGTTAAATATAATATAGACAAAACCAGCATAAATTTAGCCCTGTTTAACAGCTTACTGCAAAAAAGCCAAAAATAAAAGTAAGAGCAGCTTCGCCAGCAGACACAGAGTTAAAAAAAGGAGTCTCACAAACACCAAGAAAAGCCAGTTTTGCAGGAGCCGCCAGAGATAATATAAATTCTTTCTCCATATGTCCCAGCCTATCCGGCTTTACCAAGGCTAACAGTCCCCTCAGAAATGAGATTCAGGAGCTAACACACCCCAGGTCTCACCTTGAAGGGGAGGATCAGAACCTCGAGAGGCCAAGGAAGGAAGTCAAGATAGTCAAGTGGGCCGTCTCAGAGCTGGTCTTGCTCAAGCTATGCAAATGCCTCTCAGGGAGAGGCGAGGACCTGTCTATTATAATGACCAGGCCCACATCCGGGGGCGCAACAGACTTTCATGTATCAGCCCTTTTCAACCATTGATCTACTAAACTGGAAACACCCTGAACCCGCCACCTTGCTCCCGGCAGCTAGAGCCCTGTCGAGCATGACTGTGTAGAGGTGTTGGACTCAAGTTTACTCTAGCAGACCTGACCTAAGGGACCAGCCTTGGGCATCAGTAGACTAGGAGCTATACGTGGACAGGAACAGCTTCATCAACCCACAAGGAAAGAGATGTGTAGAATATGTGGTGGTAACCCTGGACACTGTCATTAAGCTGAGCTCATTGCTTTAATCAGGGCCTTAGAACTCAGTGAAGGTAAGACTGTAAACATTTACACTGACTATCGGTATGCCTGTTTAACCCTCCAAGTGCATGGAAAATTACATAAAGAAAAGAGCCTGTTAAACTCTAGGAAAAAGGGAAAAAAAGACCCAGAGAATGCAACTCAGCTTCAGCATTTGCAGAGGTACTGAGAAGCACTTCTGCAGAGGCTAAGAGTTGGTATATATAAAAAATAAAAAAAAAAAATAAAATTTAAAAAAAAGCAAGTAATATAAAAAAAGATTTCAGAAATGCTTCAAGGAGCTGACAAGAGCCTAAGTCAGTTTCATAAGAGACTCTATAAAGCATTCTGGCTTTACACCCCATTTAAACCTGACGCTGCTGAAAATCAGTATCTAGTGAATACTTCATTTCTAAGGCAAGCCCAGGGGTAACATCAAGCAGAAGCTGCAGGCATGAATACCACCTAGTCTACGAAAGTGGCCATCAAGGTGTATGTTAACTGTGACCAAGGAGCAAAACTGGAAAAGAGGAAAAGAAAAAAGAAAGACTAAGAGTAAATGTAAAAAAGAAAAAATTAGCAATGTGAGAGGATGTAGACGTGAATGTAAATGTGAAAGAAGTCAAGTTAGGCAAGGATTCAAGAGCCGGACAAGGCTAGAGAGAGATTAATGTGCGAGATGCAAAAAGAAAGGACACTAGAAAAGTAAATGTTCAAAAGGCAATAAAGGAAATGACCAAGGCCACAAGACAAGCACCTTGGAGGAACCAAATACTGATCTGATCAGACTGACGGGAGCTGAAGAATGTAAAGACTAGGACAGACTAGGCACCTTCTCATTAGGCTCCCAGGAGCCCATGGTCACATCAGAAGTTAAAAGCAGCAAGATTCTGCCATATCTGGATTACAATTTCTCACTGAAGGCTAAGCCACTAGTTACAAAGGGCGGGGTGGGGAGAAGAACGCCTCCTATAAGAAACTTAAACAGGAAAAAGAGCCATACCTTGTGAAAACTTGCTTATAGACTTTACAGAATTGCCCCATGCTGGAGTCTATCAGTGCCTGCTAGTGATTGTTTGCTCATTTAAGACAAAATCAGGTTTTTGCCTATGGTCCTCCTCCGAGTCAGGTGCACCTCCACTAAACAAACTAGGTATTTGCCCTATAAGATTTTGTTTGGTCGGCCACCCCCAAATCATAGGTCAAATTAAAGGTGACCTCCAGAAACTAAAGAAATTAACCTTAAGAAAGCAAATGCAGGCTTCATAAAATAGCCATACAATGTGTTCATAATTAAATAAATAAAAATGGCTATAAGCCTGACACCCCTTTAAATCTAATGACTCTGTTTAAAGTAAAATCTAATTTTTCTAGGACCTATATAGGATGGGCCCGATACTGTAACCTTGCCCACTCCCACTGCTGTTAAAGTTACAGGCGTCGTGTCTTGGGTCCACCACAGTCAGCTAACACTGGCAGCTCAGGACAAGTGGACCAGCCAGCAGGACACAGATCATCCAACCCGGCTGATCCTGAGACGAGACCAAGCTGCTGCTAGAGACGACAGCCCTGCTCGGGTCACTCCGGAGGCTGACCAGTCTATGCACGGCTGAAGCTTGAGGAGACAATAAGCCCTGCTCTAGTCACACACCGGCAGCTGACTATGCACAGCCGAGGCTTGAGGATTCATCAAGCAAGTAAACGTAGTTAAAATCTTAAGACTAATAGTTTTCCTGTAATACTGTTTTCCTATCGTTCTGTCGCTGTATTCAACCTTTTTCCCAGGTAAGGACCTCTTTTGTCCTTGCTGGATATGAATATGCTGTACATTGTTTTGTTGTTGTTACCCCCATAACCATGCTAGAAGAAACACCTATATAAGGTGTCCCCACTGTACACATATTACTTAGGAAATCCAGACCCCGTCCAGCCCAGCAACAATTCCAAGTCTTGCAGTCATTCTTTAAACATGTAAACCAGAACCTCTTCCTTTAGCAAAAAAGAGAAAAAGCCTATTTGCTTAGTTGGCTGGAAACATTGCTGGCAGCCTAGATGTTTCTTCATGTTATGTTTATAAAAAGGCTAACAGAAGAGACCAATGGCCTTGAGAAGCAAAAGAGTTAATGTCTCAAAATTACTTTAACTATTTCCCCAAACAGACGCCCCAAGTTCAAGCATCTGGCTCTCAAAAACTTTTATTATTAAAAAATACTGTGTTACTCGCTAAGAAAAAGCTTTTAAGACCCAGTAAAAAAACTAACCTGCTTAGGACATGACAAAGCTGATACATGTGCCTGTACAGGTTTAACACAGGTTTGATCCTAGGTCTTTATTTAGAAAATAGTTTCCAGCTATAAGAAAATTTAAAACCCTCACTGTAAGTGTATTACTAGTAATAGAAACTTGCTTGCTGCTCCCCTGTGTATGACAGTTGCTTCTTCAAATGATAAAAAGTTTTGTAGCTACCATGGTTCATCAGAAAACTTTAGCACAAGTGTATTACATAAAACACTATCGCTCTGTCTCACAAGGAGACTCATAAAGTAAAAATAAAAGTGAGAACTCCCACTAATTAGTGAACATTCTCAAAGTGGGGGCTAAGGAAGGAGACCACTACTACTCCTGCTGCCTCCTCCTACCTTGCTTAGTTCACAAGACAGGAGGAAAAAGAGAAAGCAAAAAGTTAGAAAGAAATAAAAGTAAGATAAATAGCCAGACAACCTTGGCACCACCATCCGGCCCTGGGAGTTAAAAAAAAGTAATAATAACATCAATCCCTGACCTGAACTACTTGTGTTATCTGTAAATTCCAGACACTGTATGAAAAAAAGCATTGTAAAACTTTTTGTTCTGTTAGCTGATGCATGTAGCCCCCAGTCATGTTTCCCACGCTTGCTCGATTTATCACTACCCTTTCACGTGGACCTCTTAAAGTTGTAAGCCTTTAAAAAGGCCAAGTATTTCTTTTTCAGGGAACTCGGCTCTTAAGACATGAGTCTGCCGACGCTCCCGGCCAAATAAAAACCCTCTTCCTTCTTTAATCTGGTGTCTGAGGAGTTTTGTCTGCGGCTCATCCTGCTACATTTCTACTAATATGAAATGTGACCATTATCAGCTTCTAAATTCTTACATACACTTGGGTAGTTCTGGATTTTCTATTCTGTTCTATTCATTTATGTCTTTTCAGTTGCTGGTAAACAATTTGTGGAAATATTAGTACATTTTGATACCTAGAAAGGCAAGTCTTTTTCCATTCTGTTACAAAACACTAATTTATCACAATAGTTAAAGATATCATGTGTAACTTAAAAATGTTAAAACTTTGATATTTTTATTTGGGCTTAGGGAAAGGTGATACATAAAGAACTCACATCTTGAAAAAAATGAATCTTCCTATTCAAGGACATGAACCATCTTCCCATTTCAGTTTCTTTCTAAGATTCCTCAGTGAAGAACATATTTATATAGCGATACATTGACATAAAATGCACATTGGATTTTATCTAAAGAATATTTAGCCCTAAGTCGATATATTACGGGAATTATTTCTCATTACACACCTTTCTATAATGCATATAACATTGTTTTAAAGGTGTACATTAAAAATAATCTGCTGCATCGAATTAATCTTGCAAGTTAAACCACTTTAAAACAGTCTATTAAGTGTTATGTAAAGGAAATTATTATTGATTGGAAATCAGCTAAAATTTTTTTGTGTTGCTGCTCATAAAGAGGCCTTTGCGCCAACCTCTCCGAGGTTTCCACATCCAGGGTGCTGTGGGGCCTGCAGAGGCAAGAGAGTCAGCCCTGGCCCATCCCACAGAAGGGCAAATCCCCACCCCCATCCCCACACATTCCGCCTCTGATCCGCTCTGGGGACTTTACCCCACCAGGCAGCTCTGTGGAGCTTGCCCAGATCTTCTCGACGGACGTGTTACCTTGGCTCCAAACAGGCGATGTCGTCGTGGTCTCCCCTAGAGTCTACGTGGTTCTTGCCACTCCCCCTGCAGGAGGGGAAGCAGTGGCAGCACCACTTGCCCATCTTGCCGCTGAGGCCAAAAGGCTTCTTCATAGTGGATGCAGCCGGCTTTGAAGAAACCTCAGCCCCCATCCTCTTTTACCAGCCTGGGGAGCCAGGTAATAGCTAGCCAATCACCTCTGCAACAAATTTCACCAACAAGCAAGAAACTCTAGGTTTCCAATCTGTTACAGGAGAAAGGTTAAGCACAGCCAAAACCCACCAAAGCAGAGGAGCCCAGCCCAGGCGGGGAGAGGCCAAGCCCAGCAGTATTTGCAAGGCCACACCCACCTGAGGAAATCCCACTCCCACCCCGGGGGAAAGCTCACACCCACCCGGGGAAAGGCCAAGCCCCTCCACCCACCCGCCAAGGAAACACCCAGCCCAGCCAGGGGAATGCCAAGCCCAGCCAAGAAAAGGTCAAGCCCAGCAAAGGAATGCCGAGGGAGGAAACGCCAATCCACGCAAGGACCAGGAAGCAAAGCGACCAACGCCAAGCCAAGCGAGGAACGCCAAGCCAAGCCGTTACACACGCATGTGCAGAACGCCAAGCCAAGCCGCTGCGGCGTGCGCGTGCGCGTGCGGCGTGCGCGTGCGGTGTGCGCACCTCAGATGGTGTCACTGCATGTGGCACAGTGTCCGATGTGTGCAATACACGTGCCTGTAAGTTATAGTGCCACAAATGCCAGTGACAGCCCGTCCCGTCAAACTTCGTGGGAACTGGCCAAGGTTCAGGCCATTGAGAAGGGGAGGCAGCCCCTGGGAAAAAGCGTCAAGAAGCAGGACTCGGGTCAGAGCACCTGGAACTTGAGGATGCTGACAGTCTCCTCTGAAGAAAGCCCCGAATACACTCGTGGCAGTGCTGTGCGGGTGGTGGCGGCTGCAGGGGAAGGGCAGGCTGGTGGAGCTCGCTGCAAATGGCCTCAAAATCGTGGAACATAAGCCGCCCACGGTCCCTAGGGCCTGCCTGAGGCACCTTCCCCACCCGCTCCTCCTTGGTCCCCACCCAGAGCAAGGGGCCATAGGATTGGGGCTGGGCGGCCAGCCCCTGCCCCATTGCCCCCAACCGGTGTCCAAGCCACAGCCAACCGCTGTGGGGCTTCTGGCCCAGGCTCCTCTCAGCTGGCATGCAACAGGGGCGGGGTGCAGGCCGCTGTCTCCAGGCTGGCAAGCCGTGGGGGCTTGGAGGAGCACCTACCACTGACGGGGAGATGCAGAAAGGCACCCCTATGTGCAGATCCTGGGAACAGGACGCTGCAAGCCCCAGGGAGCCAGAACAGGCAACCCTGGCAGCAGAGTTGAGCTGGACCTGGGCAGTGGTGCCGTGACCCTTCTGTGGGGACCTTCCTGCCACACAGCTCCACGCGGCCAGGCTCCAGGGTGCTCACCCAAACAGTAGGCGCTTTGATGTGGGATGAAAAATGGATTCCGAACCTGGGACACAGACCTGCTCTTGCCAACAAAAGTAGAGGAGAAGAGAATTAAAAGTGCAAAAAGAATGTATTCTTTTGTAACTCAAGTCTTGCCTGATCTGCAGGGTTAAGCTAAGGCTCCTCTTGCTTGCTACTAAATGAACTTTTGAATGAAATAGGAAAAGGAAAGAAGACATACACTCTAAATCTCCTTGTCCCACTGTGATCCCCTGAGCCAGCAAGCAAGGGGAGGCCTGGCCGCCTGGGCCCTCTCCCCACCTGAGAGCAGAGCAGTTTCCTCCAGGGTTGCAGGGAGCAGCTGGGCTCAGTGAGGCTGGGCCACCCTTCCTTCCTTTATGGGTATCCCCACACCTGCATTCCCCCATGCAGAGTTCCATGATCCGGGTTCAAATCCCAGCTCCGACCCTCATCACTTGTGCCACCTGGCAAATGCCTTATTCCCAGGCACTTGCTGTCTCTGTCCTTCTCGACAGGAGGGATGGGAGCCGGTGTCCCTGGAAAGCAGCATTGTGACAATCAAACACAAGCAGGAGCAGGCAGACACGTGGACAGGGGCCTGGCTGCTGGGGGTGCTCACCAGAGGGCATCAACCCATCTGCCCAGGTGGTCTTGCAAGTCTCAGCACTTATTAGGCACCTGACTATGGCAGACATCTGAACAAAGCCCCGAGCTGCCCTGGGGAATGTGACCAGGGTGATGGACCAGGAAGGACAGTTGGGGTGCTTGGCACGAGTAAGGAGGGGCCAGAGAAATGCCACTGTCTTCCCACCAGCTATGGGTCCTGGATCATCTGTATGGGGCACCCTCAGTGGGCTGAGAACCCAGAGATGCCACAAGGCTTGAGCTGCATCCTAGGCTTCCTGAATTCCAGCCCAGCCATGGCCCAGGTCTGGGGGTAGTTTAGGCTCTGAGTTGGGATGAGGAGGTGCCAGGTGATACCCCTCCTATGTCCCAGGATCTGGTCAAGAAGGTGATGCCCTGTCACTGCCTGGCTCCAGCTGGTCTCAATGAAACAATTAGGGCAAGAAGCCCCTAGTACTCACCTTCTAGGCCACCAACACCCAGGTCCACAGTGTGGCCACCTGAGTCAGCACCATTTGCCTTGGGAGCCAGAGCATGAAGGCCCAGACAGGACCAGCATGGTGGAGCAGTGGATGCAGGTGAGCAGGATGTGCTGTGTGGATCCAAAGAGCCCCTCTCTGGAGACTTGGACATAACTTCTCGATCTTAAAAAAAAATCATTTCCTGTAATCCCAGCACTTTGGGAGGCCGAGGTGGGTGGATCACAAGGTCAGGAGATCGAGACTATCCTGGCTAACATGGTGAAACCCCGTCTCTACTAAAAA